ACATATTGGCATTTTCAAGGTGTGACTTTGAAGTTCCATGGGCTTGAAGACCCATGCTAGTCACATTTTCTGAAAATCCATGATACGTATATTTTATTATTAAAAACTGACGGTCATTATGCTGTTAACCACTATGTAATATTGCATCAGAATAGAAGAAAACACAATTTTGGGTGCTGCTGCCATGATGACCATTATGGGAAAACCATGTTACTGATGATTGCCAAACGTTCAGAAAAGAAATACAGGACTAAAATGCAGCCTGAGTTGGAAAAGCAGTCTAATTGGCTTCTTTTTCTGGAAGTTATACATTTTCAAAGTGTGAACTTGAACTCCCATGGGCCTGAAGCCTTATGCTTGTTACACATTTTTCTTACATTGGTATTACCTGTTGAGCATAATTAAAATTTGATGTTGAATTTGCAGTTTAACATAATGTACTTTTGCATCAGAATTGACAGTAGCCTATTTTGTGCATAGTTATTTCCTGCTTTTTGTCTGTACATTTGACAGCTTTGCTGCCTTGTTTTTATTGTAAGCTTGGACAATGCACAGCATATAGTAAATTTATTTTTCTTAAGCATTATTTTTTTTTCTCACTTAGGAGGCCCCAGAGAAGCCAGATCTGTTAACTGGTCCTCGTTGCCGCGCACGCTTTGACTTTGATGGTGAAGGTGAGGATGACCTCAACTTTGAAGATGGAGATGTCATTGGACTTCTGGAGAGAGTAGGCGATGAATGGTTGAGAGGATGCCTAAATGGCAAAGTTGGTGTTTTTCCTCTCTCCTTTGTAGAAATCATTGAAGATTTGCCACTGTCTCCTCCAGAGACAGGGATTGCTGGAAGGGAGGGCGATACAGGTAAGAATTTAAAGACATGTCAAAAATTTGTTTAAGTAGTTGAAGAAAAGATCCTTCAAAGTTGTATGATTTATCCTTCACAGTTGTACATTACTGTAAATCAGTTCTTGAAAATGGATCTCTTGAATTTGTCTAATTAAAATGATATTCAAAATAAATTAGCAATTTGAAATTGTAAAATTGGCCAATATAAACATACATGCTCACTAAAACATAAATTAAAATGCCACATGTATATTGATGTGCAGTAGACTTTTTCTGCATCACAGCTTTTCATGCGACATTTATATAAAAACTTTCTTATACACCAGAATAAAGCGAATAATTGGGTCATAACAGCAGTATAAAGCATATACTAGTAGATCAGATTTTTGAGGACGTAAATTTTGTATTGCATCAACAGATGTTGTGCCAGTGTAAAAGTCTTACTTGTTGTCAAGCCTGGTTTCCATAAATTTGTTATTTTTATATTTTAATAATAGGAAGGGGAACTCACTCTTGTATTGATATCATTTTGTGTTAGAAGGCTGTGTTATCTTTTCATAAACACATGATATTAAATGTATAAAATGTGAAAAATTGACTACTGGTTGGAATGTTATAAACTCGGGCTCAATTTCTCAATGTGTTAACTTAATGCACTTGTTGAAAGTTCCTTGGCTTTTTTTTATGAGGAGAAATACTTTGATTGTATTTTACTGGAAGACATTTTTGAGTGTGAGTGGTTTTTCCAGGGTCAGTGGCTGTCACAGCTCATGCAATGTATGATTTTGATGGGCAAGATGGGGAGCTCAGTTTTAAGGTAAAAAAAGCATGTGATCTCAGTTCTAACAAGTTTTAACTTATTCTGACAATCATATAATTTCATTATGTGTTTTATTGTCTGGGGCACAGAGGGGTGGGGCTGGGGGTAAATCCGGTATTACATACTACTTGAAGCCGCAGTTGAATGTCTGCTTAGATGATAATTACAAGTAGATTTCTTACATTAATTTACCATGTATTGGGTTGGATAAGAGGTGAAGTCAGATCAGCTTTGAGTGGCCTCTTGAATATGTTTCTCATTATCCAATTGAATTGCTTTTTACATTCTGTCAAGGCTGGAGACCAGATAAAGGTGCTTAGTCAGGTCAATACTGATTGGCTGTATGGAGAGCTCAATGGCCACAGTGGTAGTTTCCCTGCTGGGTTTGTGGATCATGTCCCCCCTGGATTGCCACCTTTTCAGGAAGCCAAGCAGTCAACTAATAACAAGGAAAATGTGCCTACTCAGGTATGAACATCTTTGTCGTGATTCATCACTTGTGTAACACGTTTTAACTAAAATTACTCCTCAGTGTTCCTGATTGCTCTCTGTTAAGTTGCTTGAAAATAAGACCAGAATAAGTTGAATAAAGCCCCATTTAGAGTGTGCATCATGTGGAGATGTCATCATGGTAGTATCAATTTCTATGATTTTAGGGCTCAATCTCATTGGTCTGCAAAGATCAATCCAACTCTGCAGGGACTCTTGCTTAATGCAATCTATTTAACAGATTTATTAACGAGAGAGAGAGAGAGAGAGAGAGAGAGAGAGAGAGAGAGGGAGCAAGGGTTCATGTTCACCCTTGCTGTCCACTTGATATGTAGAGTTTGTGGGTGTGTCTGCGTGTGTGTGTGTGTGTGTGTGTGTGTGTGTGTGTGTGTGTGTATTTGTGTGAGAGGTAGAGGGAATGTACATGCACACCCTTGCTGTCCACATATATCAAGTACCTATTAATAGCTAACAGAGCAGTATGCTGATCTTTGTTGTAGAAGGGGCCATCTTCCTGTGTTGCACTTCACTCCTTCACAGCAGAGGCAGCAGGGGAACTGACCATTATGGAAGGTGACAAGATTATCATCACAGAGCACGTCGGGGATGGCTGGCTCAAGGGCAAATTAGGTGGAAAAGAGGGAATTTTCCCAGAGGCTTTTGTGAAGATCTCCAATGATGAGCAAGGTGAATTTTTGGTTTATTCTGTGCTGATTTAGGAATTTGGTTGAAGTCATGCTGCGTGAGCTGTCAGTAATATCTCCATTGAGTTTGTATATGTTGTGTAAAATTATCTAAATTTTGTATAGTTTAGCTGTGCATAGCTTCAAATGATAAATGAATGATTTTTGTTAATTTTCTTGATGCCATTTCTTTTGTTTTGATTCGTTAAATTATTCCTCTTCTGTCTCAACTAATGCAGTTTAGATTTTAAATTTTATTAGTTGTGTTTAGCATATCTGGGTTCATGCCCCACTCTAGGTTACTCTATCTCCCCTTCCCCAGGTACAAAACCTAGCAGTTCCAGTGAGTATGCACCCAAAGCCAGGGCTCTACATGACTTCGAGGGACAAGGAGATAATGAGCTGTCTTTCAAGGTGAGATTTTTTGCCATAGTAAGATATTTTGTAATATTTTGTAGTTATTTGTTTATACATGTATGTGTTTTTTAGGTCTTATGGTGAAAAAGTGATGTTTGAAATCATAGTTTATAAAATAAGAGATAGAAATTGTATTATTAACATGATGACAAAAATATTAACAACTAGTTACAACACGAGTTGTCCACTGTATTCAACATACAAGAGCGCAGTTACATCCAGATGCAGCCAAGGTATAATTTGCTTTTAAATGTTGCCTACAGTGGACTTTGAGTTGTAACTGACTATTCACAGGGCTTGTACTTCTAACAGCGTATACAAATACAGACAAGGGTGTAAGTGAAATGCATGTGCAATTATCTTATTGTTGGAAGAGCTGACCATGGATTAACGTAAATACTAAAGTTTTTACAGCTATATTAGAGGGTTTGCTATCTTTTTACTAGTAAATTCTAATGGTAATTTTTGTGATGTACTTTCAAGTTTTAAAAATCATAATGTTAATCACTCAAGGCATCTGAGCAGTTGGTGTTTCTTTATTTTAGTCTGGTGATGTGATATACCTCCTGGAGAAAATTAATGAAGATTGGTACAGTGGAGAGCTGGGGAACAAGGTGGGACAGTTTCCTGTCAACTTTGTGGACATTCTTGTGGCTCTGCCGTAGAAACTGAAAAACAATGGACTGCCACAGTGCTGTGGTTATTTTGTAAATTCCTGGTGCTAATTTGTTGAATATGACATTTGTAAAAAGTAAAGATACTGTGTCCAGCAGAGGTAAAGAACATTATCACCAGATTTTTATATGATACAAGGTTGCCAAAATTATCATTGTCCAAGTTGGGCCCCTGAACCCTATGCCATATTTTCCATCTTTTTGCACTAAATGGCATTATCATCCCTGATTATGTGTATGTGTTTGTATTATTATATTGATTGGTGCTGTAGCCTTGATGGGAAAAGAATAACTGAACAGGTGCATTCCATACACATGTTCCCATTTTCTAATTAAATGATTATTTTATGACAGCAGGTGCCTTACAGTTTGAGATATTTTACAAAAGTAAGCCCATATATGCACACTCAGAGTATTATATTTTTACTTGAAGATTTATAGAACATGGTGACCTTATTTTAAATGTGAAGGTGATAGAAAGGTGAACTAAAGGCATTTTATAAGAAGCTCATTGTAACAGAAAAACTTGTCACATTTTTGTTGTTATATGATATATAACTAGTGATCGTTGTTTTGTGACTTTCGTGATGTTTGGATTGTCAAAATTGTGAGAAATGTTTTTGTTAGAATTTCTTTTGAAAGTAACTTTTGTAAAGTGAGATTCACAATAAGATTGTACTCATGTTATGTTATACTGAAATTACCAACATTAAATTTTCAGCTTTGTATTAATATATTTTTGCTACACATCATTTAAGGCAACTTATTTTCATTCCACAAAAGCTGAATACGTGTTCATTAAAAACTCTGTGTATTAGTACTGGTATAACAGTCCTGGCATCAACATCACATGAGTGGGTGTGATACCATGAGTCATTAAAATATGTTGGGTTATATATACTTTTTTCTTCATGGGCCAGAAATGTAGTATGTACCCCACTTAAACAGTAATTTGACTCTCTATGTCAGTTATGAACACCCTTACAATGAAAATAGTGGTTTCCCAGCTTTCACCTTGAATTTTTCTCACCGAAAGCATTTGTAACAGCAGCTTACATTTGGTGTCCCATAAAGTATAATTTTATACCAGTGGTTGGCAATAACTTTGGAATCGTCTGACTAATATTGAATGATGATTTATTTCCATTCCCCATTCTGTATTTGACAATCATATTGAATGATGTGAAAACCCATTATAGTGACAGGAAAAGAAGTAATTATTGAAAACGTAGGATGAGCCTCTGAGGAAATTATATTAATTTATTCGACATCAGCAGGAGTTAACACAAATGACCAACGCTAAACCTTTTTTTCTATTGATAAAATTCCATTTCCACATAAGGAAAGTAACATATAAATTTCAGTATAGCGACCTTTTTTTTACATGGAATCAAAGGGGTTTATGGATGTTAAGGTCTTGGAATAGTTCATGGGAATCGAATTTATACTCCTGATATAGCAGAAATTATCTTAAATAGATATTATTTTTTACATCTTATAATTTTACAGTGTTATAGTGGGTTTTCTGTTTGTACAACATAATGTAAAATCTACATTAACCTATAGTCTGTAACTTGATATGAAGTGCATGATTCAGTTTTCGATGTGACATATTTTTCTTTTAAAATATACTGTATTTATGGAGTTGATTTAAGAGTCAGTTGAACAAAGTGTGCACGATTCTCTTTATTTTGACTTGAGATTATTAGGGATTTTGTCAAGTATAACTATATCTCCCAGTAGGATTTTTATAATGTATTTGGTTTAGTTAAAATGTTAACGTTTAGTGCATGGTTCAGTTACTGACAAAATAGATTCCTCTAAAAATTTGTGTAAGTTTCTTGTCGCAAGAAATGAAACATGTATATAAATGTATAATGTTTAGTCATAAGATGCACTGGCACAGTAAAATAATTATGAATAATTAAGATTCCACGAGTTTCCTAGAAACGATATCATATCAGTGGCAGCTTATCTCCAGTGAAATTCTCAGTAGCCATTACTAAAACTAATATCCTGTTATAGAGGCAGTCTCCATGGAAAATGGATGTGAACAGGACTGAAGAGTGCTATGTAGATAGTATTATCATATGCGAATGCAAATTAAGTTGTCATTCACAACAAAATAAATCTTTAAGTTATTACAAAATGGATGACATAACATCATCGGCGCACTCGAGCTGTGATGAGTCTCTTGATTAAGGCTTTACGCATAAGTTCATTCTGTTGCTGGAACTATTTCTTTTGAGTTATACACTTGATCACCATTCACTGACTTAAATAAACTGTATGCACCAGTACAGTTAGTATTTAGCGGCACCAGAGCATCTTGTTTTAAGAAACAACAGGATAATGTGGCGTCAAGCTGTCAGTTAAGGCTGTCATTTTCTTAAAATTAATCGGTTTCACGAGCTGGACTTGTGATGGGTTGCTACTAGTACAAACAAAATGTGAAATACAAGGGGTGTGCAAATGTTGTGAACTGGGTTAAGCATATCCTTAATAAATTCGCCCAATTGCTGCTTTGCTTTGTATTTTTGTGCTACCGTTACGGCATTGGCATTGCTGTTTTCTCCCTTTCTCTCTCTCTCTCTCTCAAACTGTTTTTCAAATACGACCTAACAAAGAAACCGTTTCTTTGGCACCATTGCGACTTCATATTTCTGAAAAAACAATATTAGTTTAAATGGATGCTTAAAGCCACTGGGCCAGGCGCGTTTTCTTCCTCGTACACTATGCGAGAAGAGACAGTTAAAAAAATCCGGTAAACTATGGAGAGTTTGCCCTCTTGTTGTTGGCGTTCTCTCTCTCTCTCTCTTTTTCTGTCTGCATGAAAAACATTATGGGTATAGTGATTAAATACTTCACAGCCAGATTGTTAAGATAACGGTGTTTGACATATTTGTTATAATCAAGGGATTTACGTGTTTGAAGAAGGTTCACGCAGAGGACTGAAGAGAACCAAGTCGATAAGTAGTTTATTTCAAACAGGTGCCTGTCAATTTCGACGCATGGTTTTTTTTATTTATTTTCTTTTCGTTCGTGAGAGTACATTAAATTAGAGTGTGCTACTCTAATCTACACCTCATTATAGACAGTCTATATTATACTTCCGTACATTGCACAGAATATCATAGTAACATACGCGTACGTTTCCTCTCGTACAATATGGCATACTTGTAACAAGCATACCGGACTCTCTTACCACAGGGTTCGACACAGGTTTGTTACAAAATCGTTGAATCCCCAGTAATCAGATATGATAATCAGATATTGCCAGACATATTTTTCTATGAAGACGGTTTCTTCTCGAGTGGCAACACGAATTTGCAACCCCGTGTGTTCATTTGATTATGTTGGTAAACAAAGGAAAGTAGACAGTTTGTCAACATTTTGACACAGACTTCCTTTCCATTTCTACGTACTGGAGAGCATAAAAAGCGATTAAACACTCGTTCCTCCTTAGCTGTTCAATTTTTGCAACACGATCCAGACATGTTTTACATCAATTTATTTGTCATCTGATAAAACACATCACTCAGTTAACTGAAGACCCCCTGGGAGATTTGTTTCAAAGTCAGCCCAACTAAATGGCAACGATTGTAACACGATGGTGAAGGTTGGACGGGCGTGCACCACTATTTATATATCTCACTGAAAGGTCCCGGATGTCAACGAATACGGGTCCCAATTTAGACAAAGTGCGATTTATAGTGCAAAACAGTCCATAAAATATATTTTGATTGCGTTTTCTATTTTCGATCCCGGTGTTTGAAACAAAAAACGTTCCCAGAAGAATACAAAAATTTGGGTGCAGAATCTTGTTTCAAATTCTTTAACAATCCAATGTAAAACTGATAGCACCGCCTTGGATAGGTGTCAGAAATAAAGTATAATTCTTAAAAAAAACTTGAATACACTTAATGAATGGAACCTACGTTTATTAAATCTTTAAATTTAATTCTTTTATCTTGGATATTAATATTAAAGGTTATACAGATTGTCAAAATAAATCTCAATTAGCAATCAAAATGAAGAACAAGAAATGTCATTATTGTTTCAGTATAAAAAGATGGATTTGTTTCAAGTTATACATGTACTACGCAGACATCGGAAATCCTGTTTCCATGTAGCCCTGTCATACAGACTATATACATTTGTATCGTCCTGTAATTCTTTCGAATGTTAAAAAATATATACAGTGTGCTGTGTTCATCTTTGAACGGCCAAAATACTGTTGGCAGTTTGAAACATCGAAGTTGATTCTGTCTTTGAATTCAGAGACCGAGTGAATAAAGAATTCGCGGCTGTGGTAAATTAATCCTTGACCCTTGACATAAAAGGCTATGTTTTGCCGTTAGATATTGAAATCTCCCGTTTCTATCTGGTTTAGATTTTGAATGGAGCATGTAGCAGCGGTTCCAGATGGTATCTGCTGTGTTATGAGGCATCAGACATGAACCAGGATTGGACTTTACCAGTACGCCTCCTTTCTCATAGATCCCTATTGGAATTTGTGGATATGTAATGTGTTTCATACGAAAACGCAACCTGAAGTGCCTTACTTTAATTATTAAAATTGCAGTCATATACCATAATGTTCTTAGTAAAGACAATGGCGTTATCGCAATACGCTGACAGAAAAGGCGGATTTTGAAAAGTTTGTCCATCTGAAGAGAAGTTTCTATAGAGAAAATGTGAACTTCACGTCCTTAAGAATCATGATTGTCGTTGGATGATGTCTGAACACTACATCTTAGCCTCTGGCAGGACATGGCCTTCTGCTCCGTCCTGAACTATGTACGCACTCACAGGTATTGCCGGCCCCTGGGGTGGGGTTCCACCGGCGTCCACAGGTGCAGCCATCACAGGGGTCGCTGGCCACCACTCTCTCCGCCTGCTGGGGCTGTGCGGAGAAGGAGGGGGCGGCCTCACCGGTGGTTCTGGCGCGCCAAGTGAGGAGGGCCACGGTGTCCTTGGAGATACATCTATAAGAGTATCAAATAAAATAGCAAAATTTGTATACACTGAAAATGCATTTACTATTACAGATTTAATTCATATGACATGTACGTTTTCGTACGTTGCAAAGATCCAAGAATCCACCGATGCCACGACGGTTATTGTTTTTGGGAAAATAAAAAGTGTGCGTCACATTTCAGAGGAACATTTCAGCGAATTGAATGAACTATAACACCATTAGCCATCCGCAGTACGTACCTCATTTTCACATGACTGAATTAGTATAAGTAGTTACCATAGCAAAAAATGGTTAGTTTTGTGAAGATCGTTTAGCCTTCTTATACACCAGGGTTTACTAAATGTCAAATATCTGTTGAAGCAGTAGGTGAGAAAACGAATTCTACTGCTACAACACATGAAGTTAAGGAGGAATCAGCACAACACTTGTATTCAATAAAGCGAAATTTAGTGTATCCATCGAAATTCAAGATTTACACATTAAATAAATCAAACATAAAACATCACCTGTGCGTGAAATAAATAGAAAGTTAGTATTTTTATGCCAACACGTGAGAGACACTGAAATACAGTATTACTAACACGTGAACTAAATCTAAATTCAGTGTTACCAACACGTGAGAAGGACCGAAGTCAATGTTAATAACACGTGAGATAAAACGAATTTCAGAACCACCAACACGTGAGATAAACCGAAACCCAGCATTACCAAAGCAAGCAAACAAAAATCAAATTATCCTAAAATAATTCAAGATCCAGCATTACCTGCACGTGGAATCGTCCCACACCATCCCAGAGGAACAGCTGATCTGCGGCACCTTGCACTTACAGCGGCAGTTGTCCTGATCATAGATGTGTACGGCGGGGTTACAATCCCCTGCCTTCACCTTACACTGGCACTGACATGCAGTGTGCTCCTCGATGAGTTTCGTTTCCGCCCCAATGTACTTCAAATTGTTCAGGTTATACGCTGTGCCCTCGAATTTCATTACCTAGTAAAATTTGAGAATAACTACATCGTTGAATGCTACGTTACATTACAAAGAATATAATTAAAAGAACACACTTTAAAGATTCATCGTAATCGCCGTGCGGAACTTATGTAAGAAATCTCTCTCTCTCCTCTCTCTCTCATGCTCATTTGACTCGTAAGCGCGTTGCTGTAACCCTTATTTAAAATATATTTAAAATATAACTACTATTAGTACAAAGCAGCATCAATTATATAAAATGTTCGATTTTAATAAGACATGAAATGCGAAAAAAACAAGGAAAATAAATTGTTTTACCGCTGTACCTATCATACTGCATGTAATTTCAAGACTTGTTTTGCCTTAAATGCGTAATTGCATAAATATGCAAATATACAGAAGTTGGTGTGATCTCTCTCTCTCTCTCTCTCAAACGCACACATACCCTCTTGGACACAGTGACAGTGCCCCCTGGTGACGGACCACAAGTAGTGGTTTCAGATCCGCAGCAGCCTCCGCACCGAGACACTTTGACACACACGGGAAACGTAAGGACATTTGGATCTGAACCCTCATTCAAAGCCACAGCCGTCTGTTCCGGTATGCAGCCATCATTCAGAGTGTTTGTACTGGCGACTGTGTCTACACGTTTATGGATTAGAAAAAAAGATGTTTATGTTGATAATCGACAGTTAACAAATCCATTTAACACACTACACTGGGTACAAAATCGAAAGTGCTGTCGTTGAAACGTGCAAGACTACATAGAACAGGAAAAGGGAAATTAATAATCACAGGGCTATTAATTAATTACTATGAAATTAGTGGGATTCCTAAATCCCATATTTATATGTGTATTGATTGGGACTAGAACTGGAAAATGTCACTTACATCTGTTTGGGCGTCGACCTGAAAAGTAAAAAAAGCTCAATTATTAAAAGATGTTATTGTATATTGTTCAATAAAATGGGTTTTTTTTTCTAGTATTTATGGTACATGTATGACTTGAATTAAATGTTTTCGTACACTCAACATAATGAAAATATACTGAAAAAAAAAACAGATATAGACATTTATGGATAATTTTTGAACTGTGCAAAGATTATTAGTAAGAACTGACACTTCTTAAATGTTTCATCTTTATTCTATAAATACTTTCAGATTCATTACATATCAAATTTAGTCTGTATGTTTAAGTGATATCAGCGATATCAGCACGTAGAAGCTTTTAATCAGAAATTTTCCGCCCTTCTTTCTATTTTTTTTTTAATTTCTGATTGAGATTTTAGTTATTCCTGCTACTGTTTTCTAGTACGATTGAAAGCAAACTGATAACCACTTCCTTCCAAGAAACGGTTTTCAAAACGGTTTTGGTATTCAAAAGAGCAATGCATTCCATATCTGTAACTACATTATGCTTTTAATCTTCTTTTCAGATAAGGTTTTAGGCGGAAAAAAATAAGGCCCCTACCCTTTAATAAAACTACAAAACGGTTAAACCAGCTGTAAATTTGATCTACACATCACTGTATGATAGAACTCGTACTTTTTACGTTAAGGATCAGATGCAATTACAAGTGATGTACTTGGCTCCTTGAGTACAAAAAATTTCGTTCATGTTGAAATGTGTAAAATGAGAAAGTAGATTTAAGAGATATCTGGCATTAATACCAACAGACGCAAACATGATGTTTTCCTCTAAAGAAACACGTGTGCATGTCATGCTTTTAGCAGTGCTTTCAAACTAGAATTGATTTGATTGCGCTTCATGACTTTTAAATTATCAAACAAGCTATAAAAGGTACTCTTTAGCAAAGTAAACTAAGCGCCGTCGACTTGAAATTACATTACTTTGTTCTTGGAAAATTATATTGCAACTGTGCCTTTGTGAAAGAAATGATTAGCTAAACCCGCTTTCACTGCAGGTCCAGTGCATACGTCGTATGCAATATTATAGATTGAGTCAAGGCTTTAAGACTCCAGAAGTCAAACTGAAAGTTTAGATTCTCAATTTAAAATCAGGGACAAAGATACAATAGAATGGGTACACTGTACCGGCTGGTAATGTGTACTAACCAAACACTGTGTCTACAAACATGAAAATGATGTTCTAAAATGATTTTAACAGACATATTCCCTACGATATAGGCTTGTGCCCTTGATACATACATGTATGATATATGTCGCCTTGACGGATTTATGAACAGCTTAGACTTAAACTGCTTTTGATCCCAAAATTAAACGGTTTGATTGAAACCATAACAATAAAACCTCGAGGCTGTCAAGGTGGTTACTTAAGTAATACATACTTAAAAAAACATCCACCTGTTGTGGTGGTCTTTTACATGTAACTCAGTGCCACAGAGGGCTACAGTCGCTCACGTGGCACGCTAAACTTAGACCTACACGCTTTTTTATTTTTTATTGTTTCATTTTTTTTTCACTAACATAATTGAACTCGACGCTCAGTGGTCGTAGTGTTATGTTTGGCAGAACAAGATGCTAATCCAAGTGGTTTCTGTTTATCACAGCAAGGAAATAAGAACATCCTCTACCGTACCTTGTTCCCGCATGTCCCGTATCGCCGAGTTAATTTCTTCCATCTGCTGCGAAGAAATGCTACCTAGAATAGAATAATTCCCTTTAATGTGTACACAAGTAGAATGATTTAGTCGGTCAGTTGTACGTGTTTTTGGTGTTTATGGAACAATATGCCATATACATAATGAAAGTTGGGCAATGTGGTGATATGAAGACGGATGACGTGATGCCGTCTAACTGTTACACAGCCAGTTTTATACCTTGCTTGAACAGCTAAATGGACCTCTTGTAGGAGTAGTTAATGATGCATCCAGGATATTGCTTCAACTTGTGAATAGGATGAACCCCCGCGGAGGTAAGCAAACTTATAAATAACATACAGACTATGGGATCGATATTTCAATATACAGAAATAATTAGCATTAACATAGCGTTATATTGGTTAAATTTCCATTTTCCATTTACGTATCAGATGATGAGAGCTGACAAACGAAATTGAAAAAAGATTACAAAACGGTAGATTTGACACTGGGACATTAAGGGGAAAGAGTCAAAAAGTTATCAAAATCCGTTGGTTTTTTGATAAAGCTTTTTTGCACCAAATCTCCCCCTACCTCCTGGGTGTCTGAAGTTCTACAGTAAAAAAAACTTGATAAACAATAAGTGCCAGGCTTTTTCAGCAATACCTCCACCCCCCCCCACCCCCCTCCGTCTATCAGTGAACCCATTTCCTGTGATCTTGCTTCTATGCACTTCATAATTCAAGCATAAAATATACGAGGAAATGACAATCATGGATAAGTGGTATTTGTGGTTTTCAGTACTCGCCTGTATCCACGAACTCTCTGATGAAATCATCGGGATCCCGAAACCGGTCGGCTTTCAGTAAGAAACTGGCCGGAGGCTGAAATGATCGAATTGAATATCATTTAAATTGACAGTAAACATCACCCCAGGAAGTTTTAAGTATAAGGCGAAATTACAGCCAAAGTTATATCTGGTCATAAAATTTAATTTTCAAAGGTCACGTGGATAAATAGTTTACTTGGATGGTGATTGTCGTGTTCCTTTTCGCTGTAAAGTACACTGCTGTCTTTCCGTTGTTTTCTTCGGTATGGAATTTTATTCATTGTAATATAATATCTCCAAAACAAAACGAAACAATAATGCGCACCCAGCATAACGTGTAAAATGTCACTGTGCATTTTTATCTTATGTCGTAAAATATCGGCGACAATTTTATGTTAAAACTTGGTCTGATTTGGAGCATGTTGGAAATGAATACATGACGTTTTAATTTTGTTTAACAGTTCGTTTCTGTCGGTGATCTGGGAGTCTTGTAATAACGCACTTAACTAAGGAGTTTTGCGTGTAGTTTTTCGTACTTGTGGTTGACTTTACCAAAATATTAAGACACGAGCATGCGTCATTTACTAGTAACAAAATGAAGTCTGCTAAGATGCTAGCTGGAGAATGGTCCCTGCCACCAGGCTTTATTTACCAGGCACGGGGATACTCTTGCGCTACAGATGTTTACAAATAAAACCTGACGGTTTAAATACAATAGAAATGAGCACAAAACGAACATCAACTATGCATTTGTGCTACATAAACAGTTGGATGACATATCTCTCTCTCTCATCCTTTCTTCCCTCCTACCGATACATGATCATTAGAAATAGCCACTATTTGTTTCTCTACTATTGACTATTGCCATACCAATATGAATCATGCACACTAACCATACTACTTAGTGCTCACGTTGACCACGCCGCTACCCGCACTCGCCAGTACTCGCCCATCCCATCATTATTACGTACAGACCGTGTCTGACCTTCGATTTGATTGGGATTGTCATTATCATCCGTTTCTCCTACATACTAGTACTACATACCACCCTCAGCCAGGACCACAGATTGAATTTTATTAGATATTCTCATATATGTCTGTCGCTAATCCACGACAAATTTTTCTCATGTGTCCAACGACAATTTTGATATAGAATTATGTCCTCACTCATTTGCCCTCTAGTGAAGAATACATGTATACCCTAAAATTTCGGCAGATCGATCGGTTCCTGTTTTCCACAAACGTTTGTAACCCTCCTCTATAAAGTTGGTTAATATTATTTTAGCTACCACGACCCTTGGATTACCTTGAAGCACTGCGCAATTCCTTGCAGCAAGAGAACTATAAAAACTGTTACCAAATGTCTTTAAAGGGAGGCGTGAACGATTAAGATTTTATTCCTTTCTACCACTAATTTTAAGATGCATAAAAGTGGGCAAGAAAAGAATTCGACTCTGTACATTTCGATAGCTGAAATCTAAACGCTGATATCTTTGAAGATCTGGATTTAGATCCGATATATTTATTTTGGTTTGATCTAAAGAAATATACGATAACAATTAAGAATTAAGGTATTACCTAGAACTAATGTTAACCCTAATTGTCCATAATCAGCAAAGACAGTGTCGATTTATACCCAGATATGGCACTTGTGAACTCCTGAAGGTTTAAATTTCTGAAGACATCGTTTTATACATTCATACACAGGGTATAGTTAGACACGAAATACACAGTGATACACTATACATTGATGGCAGCAGTTTATTATTACAGACTTGGTTTGGATCTAAGATAGGTAATATTTTGAGTCAGGATTTTAATTATTGTATCTCTTCTTATTTACTTTCTTTCAAATCCCTTTCCCCGTTTTTAATCACTCATATAGAAGGTATACTTACGTCAGCCAGCGAACCGTGGAGCACCGCAAAAACACAAACGAAATAAGCAACCCAAGACATCTTGACAACCGTTTGTGTTTTAAGTACGTTCTTGTCTATTTTCTTGTTCGTTGTTGCTGTTTCAACAATAAATTCCAAACGTTTATATTCCCTTCAAAATTAAGATTATTCCGACGGATTTCTATGATAAAAGAGCTAATTGCACTTAGAGGTTCTCACGAAGTTGGTTTAGTTTGTTCGTCGTTCCTGTTCGTTTGTGGTGAGTTTAATCACACTCAGTAAATACTGTGGCGCGGACAACCGTAGATTTATATTCACTGAGATGATGAGAACCAGATCCGGAAGATTCCAATCATGGAGGAAGGGGAGGTGACTAAAGAAATGTTCGCAGCAAGACAACATGGGGAGTTTTGCAGCTGAACACACAGGAATGTTTCAAGATAAGGAAGCGTTACTAAATTGGTACTTTTCCATTTTTACCAATATTTCCCTTGTCCAGTTTCCTGCAAATGGTTACATACTACATACCATTTTTTATACTCAAACGCGAATAGAGTGTTCCACGAATTGTGATCTTTAATTGTTTATGGGTTATTTATTTACTTCACAGTTATGCTAAGCTGGGCAATATCCCACAGAGAGGAAAACTATTCATGGATAATAAGTAATCAAACCTGTGGAAAGGCTGAATTTATCTGATGTAGGAAAATGTGGTAAATTCTGGTTTCCCCTGGTGAGAAGTAGGTCGTCCCAGCACGTGCGTTCAGGCAAACCCGGACAACACGCAGAGATTAAACCGTGCAGTTTGAATTTAGAACCCCAACTCGGTAAACAAAGAAAGATGGCAGGTTTCCTCTCGGATTGCTAATTTTAGCCCGGCATTGACGTCACACTAAATATTACGCAAATTTTCCACAGTGGGGCTTTTGTTTTAGCAATTTACCCTAAAAAGGCACGGTTGATAACCGTATTGCTTTCTGATTGTTTTTTATTGTTTTTTGTTATTTTGGAGAAAGTATAGAGGAATGGATCGAGAGAGAGAGAGAGGCTTATACAGGCAATCTTGCAAGTTGGCGTGTTGGCCGCAGCAGAGGGCGTTAGCAAGAGTTACAAGCAAATGATATAAATACACCCATCTCCTTTCAAAAAAAAAAAAAAAATCATGGCAAAATATTTTCCTTATTATCATCTCCAAAGTAACTTTCTGAAAATTATTAAATGTTTTTCTTTCTTTTTAAAATTTTATCAGACCTTTTAATTGTTATGTCAGATAAAAACTTATATAGTCATGCAGGTTCTCTGATTTCACAATTTAAGAAATGTTGTAGCCGTCACTTTTCAGCGAAATAATAAATACGTACATCATTAACTAGCAAAAATATCTAAAAGAGACAATAACGATGCCATTTGATTGATGATACATATAAGATCAAGTGACTGATTCTCACAACGAAGACAAGGAAGAAACGGGAGGAAATACCATCGATATGCATTTCGGCGCCGAGTAAAACCAAATGACATCGAGTGTTTCCGATAAGGTAAGTGCTCTCACGTCATGCTCTTTATTTCACATTTTATTCAGTCTGATTCTTTAACCCCATGGATAATTTAGTAATTGAAATGGCATGTCAATAACAATTAATAGCGCACACACAAAAACTTCTCCGTACTACAGTGTAGTAGGCCTACTCATATTATATGACAATTTACCGATGACAGGTGCCCGGATTAAATATCATTTTTGTTGTATGAAAGAGACAGTCAGCGCACAGAAATGTTGATAACCGTGTAGAGCCTGTGATGTCCATTTCAAACGTGGGAAAATGCTACGGGTAAACTGGTTAATTATCTTTCTGGCGAGCCATGCCGGCACTGTTACCAGTTGTTTCATGAGTTGATCTGCGCTGTCACCGTAACCGCTTGATGAATAGGGAATGTACTGTATGTAGTTTGGCTTACACACCGCGGTAATTACAACAAGGCAGCAGCACCAAAAATTGTGTTTTCTTCTATTTTGATGCAACATTACATAATGCTTAACAGCATAATGATCATCGATTTTTAATAATAAAATTATTGTCATGGATTTTCACAAAATGTGACTAGCATGGGTCTTCAAGCCCGTGGAGGTTCGAAGTCACACCTTGGAAATGNACTGAAAAAAGTTTATAAACGGTAGAGTTGGCACTGGGACATTAGGAGGAAAGAGTCAAAAAGTTATCAAAAGTCGTTGATGTTTTGATAAAGCATTTTGCACCAAATCCCCCCTCCCCCTCAAACCACCACGACCATCTTTTAAAAAACTCACTGGGTGTCTGAAGTTCTACTGTAAAAAAAACTTGATAAACAATAAGTGCTAGGCTTTTTAAGCAATACCTCCACCCCCACCCCCTCCGTCTATCAGAGAACCCATTTCCTATGATCTCGCTTCCATGCACTTCATAATTCAAGTATAAAATATACGAGGAAATGACAATCATGGATAAGTGGTATTTGTGGTTTTCAGTACTCGCCTGTATCCACGAACTCTCTGATGAAATCATCGGGATCCCGAAACCGGTCGGCTTTCAGTAAGAAACTGGCCGGAGGCTGAAATGATCGAATTGAATATCATTTAAATTGACAGTAAACATCAACCCAGGAGGTTTTAAGTATAAGGCGAAGTTACAGTTAAAGTTATATCTGGTCATAAAATTTAATTTTCAAAGGTCACGTGGATAAATAGTTTACTTGGATGATGATTGTCGTGTTTCTTTTCGCTGTAAAGTACACTGACACTGTCTTTCCGTTGTTTTCTTCGGTATGGAATTTTATTCATTGTAATATAATATCTCCAAAACAAAACGAAACAATAATGCGCACCCAGCAAAACGTGTAAAATGCCACTGTGTTTTTATCTGGAAAATGTTCTTATGTCGTAAAATATCGGCGACAATTTTATGTTAAAACTTGGTCTGATTTGGAGCATGTTGGAAGTGAATACATGACGTTTTAATTTTGTTTAACAGTTCGTTTCTGTCGGTGATCTGGGAGTCTTATAACTTACAGCAATAACGCACTTAACTAAGGAGTTTTGCGTGTAGTTTTTCGTACTTGTGGTTGACTTTACCAAAATATTAAGACACGAGCATGCGTCATTTACTAGTAACAAAATGAAGTCTGCTAAGATGCTAGCTGGAGAATGAGCCCTGCCACCAGGGTTTATTTACCAGGCACGGGGATACTTATAGTGTGCCAGAAAGCATATGACAGCTCTTGCGTTACAGATGTTTACAAATAAAACCTGACGGTTTAAATACAACAGAAATGATCACAATACGAACATCAACTATGCATTTGTACTACATAAATAGTTGGATGACATCTCTCTCTTTCTCATCCTTTCCTCCCTCCTACATGATCATTAGAAATATCCACTATTTGTTTTTCTACTATTGCCATACCAATATGAATCATGCACACTAACCATACTACTTAGTGCTCACGTTGACCACGCCGCTACCCGCACTCGCCAGCACTCGCCCGCACTTGCCCATCCCAACATTATTACGTACAGACCGTGTCTGACCTTCGATTTGATCGGGATTGTCATTATCATCCGTTTCTCCTACACGCATACTAGTACTACATACCACCCTCAGCCAGGACCACAGATTGAACTTATTTTTAGATTTTCTTAGATATGTCTATGGCTAATCCACGACAAATCTTTCTCTTTTGTCCAACGAGAACTTTGGTATAGAATTATGATCAATTTTGCCCTCACTCATTTGCCTTCTAGTGAAGAATACATGTATACCCTAAAATTTCGGCAGATCGATCGGTTCCTGTTTTCCACAAACGTTTGTAACCCTCTATAAAGTTGGTTAATATTATTTTAGCTACCACGACCCTTGGATTACCTTGAAGCACTGCGCAATTCCTTGCAGCAAGAGAACTATAAAAACTGTTACCAAATGTCTTTAAAGGGAGGCGTGAACGATTAAGAGGTATCCCCCCTGATTTTATTTCTTTCTACAACTAATTTTAAGATGCATAAAAGTGGGCAAGAAAAGAATTCGACTCTGTACATTTCGATAGCTGAAATCTAAATGCTGATATCTTTGAAGATCTGGATTTAGATCCGATATATTTATTTTGGTTTGATCTAAAGATATATACGATAACAATTAAGAATTAAGGTATTACCGAGAACTAACGTTAACCCTAATTGTCCCCTAATCAGCCAAGACAGTGTCGATGTATACCTAGATATAGTACTTGTGAACTCCTGAAGGTTTAATATTTCGGAAGACGTTTTATTCATTCATGCACAGGGTAGTTAGACACGAAATACACAGTGATACACTGTACATTGATGGCAGCAGTTTATTATTACAGACTTGGTTTGGATCTAAGATAGGTAATATTTTGAGTCAGGATTTTAATTATTGTACCTCGTCTTATTTACTTTCTTTCAAATCCCTTTCCCCGTTTTTAATCACTCATATAGAAGGTATACTTACGTCAGCCAGCGAACCGTGGAGCACCGCAAAAACACAAACGAAATAAGCGATCCAAGACATCTTGACAACCGTGTGTGTTTTAAGTACGTTCTTGTCTGTCTTCTTGTTCGTTGTTTCTGGTTCCACAATAAATTCCAAACGTTTATATTCCTTCAAAATTAAGATTTTTCCGACGGATTTCTATCATAAAAGAGCTAATTGCACTTAGAGGCTCTCACGAAGTTGGTTTAGTTTGTTCGTCGTTCCTGTTCGTTTGTGGTGAGTTTTATCACACACAGTAAATACAGAGTAAATACTGTGGCGCGGACAACCGTAGATTTATATTCACTGAGATGATGAGAACCAGATCCGGAAGATTCCAATCATGGAGGAAGGGGAGGTGACTAAAGATATGTTCGCAGCAAGACAACATGGGGAGTTTTGCAGCTGAACACACAAGAATGTTTCAAGATAAGGAAGCGTTACTAAATTGGTACTTTTCCATTTTTTACCAATATTTCCCTTGTCCAGTTTCCTGCAAATGGTTACATACTACATACCATTTTTTATTCTCAAACGCGAATAGAGTGTTCCATGAATTGTGATCTTAAATTGTTTATGGGTTATTTATTTACTTCACAGTTATGCTAAGCTGGGCAATATCCCATAGAGAGGAAAACAAATCATGGATAATAAGTAATCAAACCTGTGGAAAGGCCGAATTTATCTGATGTAGGAAAATGTGGTAAAATCTGGTTTCCCCTGGTGAGAAGTAGGTCGTCCCAGCACGTGCGTTCAGGCAAACCCGGACAACACGCAGAGATTAAACCGTGCAGTTTGAATTTAGAACCCCAACTCGGTAAACAAAGAAAGATGGCAGGTTTCCTCTCGGATTGCTAATTTTAGCCCACCATTGACGTCACATTAAATATTACGCAAATTTTCCACAGTGGGGCTTTTGTTTTAGCAATTTACCCTAAAAAGGCACGGTTGATAACCGTATTGCTTTCTAATTGTTTTTTATTGTTTTTTTTCTTTTCTTTTGGAGAAAGTATAGAGGAATGGAGGGAGAGAGAGAGAGAGAGGCATATACAGGCAATCTTGCAAGTTGGTGTGTTGCAAGAGTTAGAAGCAAATGGTATAAATACACCCATCTCCTTTCAAAAAAAAAAAAAATAATAAATAAATAAATAAATAAATAAATAAATAAATAAATAAATAAATAAATAATAAAAAAAAAATCATGGCAAAATATTTTCCTTATATTCATCTCCAAAGTAACTTTCTGAAAATTATTAAGCATTGAAATGTTTTTCTTTCTTTTTAAAATTTTATCAGACCTTTAAATTGTTATGTCAGATAAAAACTTATAGGCCTATAGTCATGCAGGTTCTCTGATTTCACAATTTTAGAAATGTTTTAGCCGTCACTTTTCAGCAAAATAATAAATACATCATTAACTAGCAAAAATATCTAAAAGAGACAATCACGATGCCATTTGATTGATGATACATATAAGATCAAGTGACTGATTCTCAAAACGAAGACAAGGAAGAAACGGGAGGAAATACCATCGATATGCATTTCGGCGCCGAGTAAAACCAAATGACATCGAGTGTTTCCGATAAGGTAAGTGCTCTCACGTCATGCTCTTTATTTCACATTTTATTCAGTCTGATTCTTTAACCCCATGGATAATTAAGTAATTGAAATGGCATGTCAATATAACAATTAATAGGGCACATACAAAAACTACAGTGTAGTACTCATATTATATGACAATTTACCGATGACAGGTGCCCGGATTAAATATCATTTTTGTTGTATGAAAGAGACAGTCAGCGCTTAGAAATGTCGATAACCGTGTAGAGTCTGTGATGTCCATTTCCAACGTGGGAAAATGCTACGGGTAAACTGGTTGAATCTCTTTCTGGCGAGCCATGCCTGCACTGTTACCAGTTGTTTCTTGAGTTGATCACCGTGACCGCTAGATGAATAGTACACACCGAACCGATAATAGGCCTATTTACAAAAAGGGGGAAAACGCATTTGTGTGAAAAGAAAGAAAGGAAAATAGTTGGCTTTGAATTAGTGAAATATAACTTAATATGTGCGTCTACTGTGTGGTTACTGGTAGCCTACTACCTGCATTAGGGTTAATTGCCAACCTATAAGGCCTAGTCTTGGATTTTCCACTTTCCTTCCTTTATCTATCTGCTAATTTTGTAATTCTGTCTAAGAAAACAAAGTCAATCAACAATGAATTATTATGTTCCAATGGACCTTTTTATCAAAATTATCTCTTCTTGTTACGTTTCAGTTATTTTAAAAATTTACTTAAAATTCCTTGAATAAACTGTCAGCTTTAATAAGACTCTCGCAAAGAACAAAATCTCGCGAGAGTTAAATCCAACATGGTTGCCTTAGGTTAGCCGGCAATTTTGCCGACGTATATTTCTAAATTTTACATCAATTCTCCGTCAAAGATGGAGTTGATATATAGTGTATCGGGTTCGTCCACCAGGAAACCAATTTATGGCCATATGCCACGTTCCATATGCACGTTTTCATGCCGGAACGCGGTTGCTTTTACCAGCACACAGGCACTAGACGAGGCTGCGGAGCTGGGCAAGGACAAAGACGATCTGCTTATGCAGGAAAAACAAGACAGGTAAAACACCATAGAACGACCTCTGATGTTGTGATGATAATGGCTCCTTATCAAATATTATAATTTGTGTGGGGGTGCCACAGATCAGTTCTGTTTTTTCATAATTTTTATTTTATTTATTATTATTATTATTTCTTTTGGGGGGGGGGGGGGGGGTACGTCGAAAGGAAAAGATTCGCTCTGCCAAAACCTGCATTAATTTACTGAAAGAGATAATTGCAGGTCACATGACATTGATGAAGTGGGCAACCACGTGCACCCTTTCTTAGATTTGTCAAAATGAAAAACAATTACTACAATCAGTACGTTTTCTGAATACGTAGTGACCTTACTGTCAATGTAAAATGGGCATTACCCTTGACTCACTCTCAACATTAGCATGGCGATTTTCAGACATTGATTCATCACATGATTTCAATTCCAGACCCATGTCATTTGAACACCAGTATCATGTGTATGTGTATGATGTGGAGAAACCCTGGGAGGTGTTTGAAGTGACCAGACTGGATGAGGCTGTCCAGCAGTTACACTGGGACAGTAGTGGCTCAAGACTGCTGGTCATTGACAGACTGGGCAATACAGCCATATGGAAAATGAAGGTAAACTCATTCAGCCCTTTTTCTAAAAATATTATATGTATTATTTTGCATATGGTAATCAAGAAAATATTCTTGTCAAGATTTAAAAAAGAAAGGATAAGAAAAAGTCAATTTGTGAGAAAATCCTGGAGAAAATGCCTTTAACTTAAAGTATTAATTAATGTGACATTAAACAAAAACCTAACAAAGTATTTTATAATTTTGTTTTCAAAGTGGTTTCCTTTTTTCTTTAGGATTATTTAATGAACAACTGGGAGCTCTGTCACCAGTCCAGTGTAGAGGGGGAAGAGTTCCTGTGCGCCGCGTGGCTCCACACGGGAATCATGGTCCGTTACGACCTGGACAAGAGGGAGAGCTATCTGTATGATGGAAAATTCACCCGTATTTCCTTCTCTCCCTCGTTGTGCCAGTTTGGTGGGAAAGCCACTGATGGCTGGATAGGAGTCACTGCTACTGGATTGGTAGGTTTGATATATGGTATTTCCTTCAATGTCATGTTTCTTTACAAGTGTATGTGGTAGTCATGTCTACAGCAAGGTCAGAACAGTGGTCGCCTGCGTGTTTCTACTTTGAATTTGATAATCAGTAGCTGCTGCTTATGGGGTTTGTGCTTAGTTGGTATCAACTCATTTCTTTTAGACTCACCACTTTTAGTTTACAAACAATATTCTTGACTATCATAGATTCAGTTATTTTTCAATGTAAATTTTTCTTACATCAAATTGTCTGGAAAACATTTCTTTTTTAATCAAGTGAATGTTTGTCACTGTATTAGTCTACTCCTGTGTATGTATCTATCAGATTTGGAGGGTTTTCCTCATGTTTAAGCATTCTGGTCCCAGCCCTGAGCAAATAATATGAGACTCCTATATTTCAGGTCTGTGTTGGTGTACCAGGTAGTGAACAAGGAATGACAGTTGTCAGAAATGGCCTGTCACAAGTACGTAGCAGGTACCAGCTAGCAGCCCTGGCTTTCTCCAGCAATGGGAACATCATTGTGGCATGCAGTGATGGCAACATTGCCTCCTGTATACAGTGCTTTACAGTGACAGTGACAATAGACAGCAACAGCACGTGCAGTATACAGAGCAATCCGCATGCCAGTTTTTTCGTGCATGCTCACACGGACCCCCAGTACAAAGACTCCCCCTTTGCCAGGATTTCACACTTGGATTTCACATCACGAGAGGACAGTGACACCATCTTGGTTTGGTCGGAGACAGATCAGTTGTCCTGCATGGAGAGCTGGCACCTCCAGGAGCAGGCTGTAGGCTTGCACAAATTCTTTCAGGGCAATCTCAACACAGACACTCGGCAACCATTCAAATTGCTGAAGTGGGTTCTGAGGTCTAATCTTTCCCACTCCAGTCCAGTGTCAAGTGTGGCCATGCCAAGGTACCCCAGCGCCCTGACAAAACCAGAGTCCAACCCCCTCCTCCCCAAGTGCATCTTGATCGCCTTCAGAGATGGCACAGTCAAAATGGTGAACTCGTACACATTTGGCATCATAGCGTCATTTAATTTGGAGACTGTGAGGCATTCTTCTTATACAGTAACTGGTTTTCCTGAGAAGAGGAGAAGAGCCAGCCTCCATGCTGTGTGCATCGAGCAGAGCTATACAGGTTCAGTGGCCCTGTTGATGGATTCTCAGGACCAGATGTACATGTTGAAGTTGTTGAACACGCGTGACCCGGCCATGCAGGCGCCTCTATCGCATATCACGTCGCTGTTTGAGTACGTGCTGTTGACAGGCCGTGACTGGTGGGATGTGCTGGCTGTGGTGAAACCTGGTAGGTACTGAGATATTTTGGGTTTTTCTTTTACTTCAGTTAATATGTATGTTTATTGCCATGTACTCTTTTATCACAAAATTCAATGATAGATATGTTGTAAAGCCAAGAAAGAATTCAGATTTTTTCCAGTGTAGCTTTTGTCAGTTCTTTCATTATTAATACTGTTATTATTATTTTCATGTTTATTATTATTTTCACGTTCATTATTATTTTGACTATACAGTTTCATCACAAAGTTAAATAAAAAGGATATATATGCCAGTTATGTCTTTCATTTGGATTAGATGAATAAAATCATATATAACATCTTGCAGAGCTTTATTACACCTTGCGATATAAGTAAAAGTAATCAATAAGATAAGTATATAGATTAAAGGCAAAAAAAGCATCCATAGTCCTCCTCATATAATCTTATATGCTTTTCAATAAAACCTTATATACACTATTCCTCACCAGGAAGTATAGACACAGTGATCCAGCGTCTGTCAGATGACTACATGAAGCAGCCCAACCACATGCAGGAGCTGCTGAAGACCCGATTCCTTGCCCTGAAAGCTGCTCTGTATAAACACTCCAGTGGAGGGCAGGGGAAGGCTGGAGACTGTCACACCAAGCTGCTGCTGTTCTCCATCTCTACAGCATTCAAGTCCATACTGAGACCTAAAGCACTCGGTTCACAGGACAAGGTAGTTTGTGCACCACATTTGGGTGGCAAATCTTTTTGTGATTTTTTTTTAATTTTTAATTTTCACTTTATATTATGAAGACATGTTACTGCTGTGAGACTTGACTAGTGAGCAGTATGCCAAGGTTAATAAATTGGATTCAAAAGGTTATATTCCAAGTCTGGATTTCCTGTCCCTAATGTAATGGGGTTACAATCACTTTGAAGAAAATAACAAATTTTGTACATTTATTTACATTTATTTTACATTTATTTGAAGCATTTTTTTCTTCTACTCGACTTTTCCTGTGGAATATGCCTAGTCATATTCCGTCTCTTTTTAAATCATTACCCTTTTACATATCATTATTATTTGATAATTTCTTTGTCATTGATTTCCACTTCAGAGTCCAGCAGAGAGGCTAGCTGCCTCGTGCAGTAAGGTCATGGAGCCTGACCTTGACAAGGTCATGATGAGCCTCAATGTGGAAAACAAGGACTATGTGGTAGAGCCAGGTTGGACAAAGTTCTTTTTTCCACCAATAACATGGGTGATAGTTATCTGGATTAATCCGTATTTCTGAATTTTAAGTCTCCATTTTGATTGCCCCTGACCCCCAGATACCTTATCATTATCCGTTTTCACAACTTTCACCCATGCAATAAGCATTATTGAGCACAGTTTTAAAGCTTTTCTTTGAATGTATGTGCTATGACTGGCTTTGGCACTTGTTTGAAATATTTGTAATTAAAGAATGTGTTATTAAAGAATGTGCATAGGGTAGTGCATATTTTAGTGAAGTATATAAAATATACTTCCATAAGTAAAAAGGAAATAGTTGCATTCTTCGCAAAGGTTATCTTCAGTCTTTTCTCTTTATTGGCAGTACTCAGGTACAGTCATAAAACTTGAAACCAATTTCTTTCCAGCCACTCTCCAGTCCTTACAGCCCCTCATCCAGTGGGTTGCCGACTTCAGCCTGTCCTTACTGGCCTCTCTGGCTCTGTACCAGACATACCCTGGCCACCCCGGGGCCACCATCATTCACGACCCTGTGGCAATCAACACACTGCGGGAACTCCTCGTGATCTTCAGGGTGTGGGGACTCATCAGCAGCAGCTGTCTGCCGCACTTCATCACCACGGCGTCCAACCTGGACTGTCTGGCCCTGCTGTTTAAGCTCCTGACTAAGCTTTGGGGCATTTGTAAGGACGGCGGGAACGCCGAATATGACGAGGCTTTGGTGGATGAGTGTTGCTCCCTTCCCAGCCAGTTAATGGTGCCATGTGTTGAGCAGCATGTTATAATGTCGTCACCCATGGCTTTACAGCTTGCTCTACAGCACCCACAGAGATTTATCATAAACCATCCGCCAGAGGGTGCTCACAAACCCAACTTGGTCTCGTCTTGGACTGAGGGACAGTATCACACCAACGCCTTGCGTGATGTTGTAAGGCAGATTTTCATTGGTTCGTCACCGGCTGAAGATGTTCGGCGGTGTCTGCGGTGTGGTAGTCTGTCTCTGTTGAGGAGTACCAGTAAGACCGCGGCCATGAAGGCGTGGGACCAGCGCTGGTCTAAGATGTGTCTGTGTGGAGGACACTGGAAGCTGGATTACGCAGACGACAGCAGTTGAGATGAAGAGTTATGAGTATAATATTTCTACACTTTCGCCTCATGAGAGAAACATAGTTACATTGAATATTCGAGTAAACGTTCGAATAACTGATCATAAGCAAATAATGATAATTGTGATAAAACATCATTTGCTTGTTTTATTTTGCCAGATTATTCGTCAGTGAAAATTCAGTCTGTCATCTGACATTAGTGGCTTTTCACAAAGCCTTCTTGTCTAAAGTTGAATTCAATGGAAATACGAGATATAAGATATTTTCCCAGTTCCAGTGATTCTTCGTCATCGGTCTCTGTTCTCTTGGATTGTATATTGTACAGTATATCAATGTAAATAAATTTATATATCGTGTATTGTCCTTTGCGTACGTTTTGAAAAATCGAGATTTTTTTTATTAAATTTGCGGGGAACATTTACATTTATTTTTTTAATAACAGTGGGGTTGTTCATATTCCCTTTTGTCAAATTAAGTGAAATTTTAATTCAAGCGTTATGAATGCGGAAGTTTTAGGATATTTTGCAATAGAAACATTCCAGAGGATGGGTGTTATTTTTTTTGTCAGTCTCCGGCATTTTAATCCGGCATCCACCCCGGCATCCTTTTCTGTGGTTTAATTCTCTCAAGGGCTTCCTCTAAAATCCCAGCTATACCAAGTAACCCAAATGTTTCCTGAAAAAATCCAGCTATGACCAGTAAACCAAGTGCTTCCTCTAAAATCCCAGCTGAATAACCAGTAACCTCGTGTGATAATTAGTCTTCTTGTAAAAACGTCCCAAATACACGCCCAGTTTCAGATATTACTAGAAACTAACTTCTGTCACAACTTGGCAGGAATTTAGTATGCTTCCGTCCGCTTTCTTTCTAGAAGTCCTATTCAAAAGGAAGAGGATAGCACTTGATCCCGAGAACATGTTCGAAGACCTCTACACTTAAACATGACTCTGGTTAAGAGTCCGGGCTACAACCTAGTATTATTTTCACATAAGAGGTACATAATTACTTTGTATTAAGTACACATGAACAGTGAGGTTCATACTTAGCTTGCATGCTTATATTTTAATCCTTCATTTTCAAAGAATCATCAGCAATATGATACTTTGATTATAACAGTAAATATACCATACGTACTGGAGGATAAAGGTGTCGGCTAAAGTTTAAAGAATACATAATTTGATCATTGTAAGAAAGGGTTGATCAGCCCGTCCAATATAGCTCACAAACAATCATATACAGATTGCACAAATATTTTTATTAACAATTAACGCAATAAATACATATCTATGAAAACAAACTTCCAGACAACTAACGTGTATATATTAATTAACAACGTGAAAATAATAATTTACAAACAGCTTCATTTGATGCGAGCAATCATAACGCGTGTAATGCCAAGGTGAGAACAGCGTTCGAACGTATGCTGTACAAAAAATCTTCAGTTGTAAATATTAATATATATATATATATATATATATATATATATATATATATATATATGATAAGCAATACTTTAAATGTAGGAACCATTTGAGCATAATTTCGGAAATGTCACGTTACGACAACTGAATGTCAGAGTATCCGGTGAAATAACCCCGTTAACCAGCTTTTAGACGAGAAGCATTAATAGAGGGAGTCGCTGTTACAATGTTACCTCCGGTTCCGGTTGTACAGTGGCCGTTCTCTTATAACAGGCTGAAGAAAGCCAGCCTCTGCATTCAAACGCTTTCATTACTTTCACTTTCGTTTCAATCCTCGATGAATCAATCCAGAACGACGACCACTTCTCATTGGTTTCACTTGCGTTAAAATCCACGCGACTCATTCCACATTTCTACACATAAGTATCAATTTAAAATACACCTTGGTATTAGCAATTTGAAGTTGAATTATTTCGAGTCCTGAACCACGAATCCACACCTTTCCATTTCTTTATGTCCATTTAACTGAAGCTGTTTGGAAATACTAGTAAACCTCTTCATGATGCTCATATATCATCTTAGACGTCTTGTTTCTCTCGAAGCAGGCCTTGGCCACAGATTTCACCATTTGGGGTGGTCCGTAGGAAAACACGCCTATTCTCTTCACCTGGAGGTAAAATAGGAACGTTTTTGCCTTTCATGAACATCCAAGACCCAATCTTGACACTTCTGATTATTCTCAACGTTATTTCAACGTAATTTTCTGGTCATTCTGTGCAAGTTTGCAATAAGTATACACATAAGGTTATAACTACTAAAGTATTTTGATCCAAGCATCTACCTATTTACCACAGAACAACATCGAAATTAGAATAAATAAGACGTGCACTACTAATAAATCGGATCTAATGGTTTCGCTTATATTTATATGTTAAATACAGCGTGTAAATATGGATCTATTTTAAAAGTACAAGTGCAGACAAAGGCACAGTTAAAGTGCTGATAAGTAAATAGATCAAAATATAATTTTACCGAGCTATGATTCTTTCCCACACTTTTCAGAAGTAAGTCAAAGTTCGGGTGGCCGAAGTACAGTGGAGACTGAAGTCCCATCAGTAGACTGCGACCAGATACACGGATAAAGTGTCTCTCGCACAGATACTGAAATAAGGACAAATACAGGTATGTTGATGAAATCTCAGTAATCTTAAAGTACTGAGTCACACCTAAAAACCACACCTGGCCATGGGAAGGCTATAGCGACAATACACTGATAATAAAAAAATCAAAACTGATAATAAACAGTCCATAATTCAGACCCTAACTCACCATGAGTAATGTGCGGAGATCATATTTCTTATAGAAGCGTGTAATAAACAGACTGATGTGGACCAGAGCCTGCAGGTCGTGTTCCTCTACCTCTCGTATGATATCAATCATCCATTCAAACTGGTGCTGGTCGGTTGACACCCACACAAAGTAGATCTGTAATTGCTTTACAATTTTAATATGTAATCGAACAAATTATATTAAATTACATAGATCACATTAAAATCAAGCTTTTATGGAGAGTTACAACCAACATACAGGCATCATAACAAACGGATTGTTGTATTCAGTGAACTATTTATGCATTTTAATTATAACTATAATTGTTATGTTGTTTTGTGACATTTTTCTGTCAGTAGATCCCAATACGTAGGCCTATTGATAGGGCTTGCTTCATCGCCATATTCAACACTACATAATTTCAAACAATTAAAATTGGAAAGAATGATATTCTACTTCGGAAAACCAATGTATTCTAAGAAATTTGGTCTGAACAGAGAGGTAAGAAGAGAAGACCCCCGTGGAGAGTGTTGACTGTGCAGTTTCAATACGAGCACCTATGCCAGTAGATAACAGCGAGTGTATTGTCATCACCTTAGTACAGCTTATCCTTCCATCGGTCTGTGCAAGGAAAATGATGTGTTTCAGGATCGAGGCAAATGGTGTGACGCCGATCCCGCCCCCCACCATCACAGTGACGTCATAGTTAGACCAATCCTGGGACGCACTGCCAAAGGGACCGTCGATGTAAACCTGAATATCCGGAAAAATTGACTTCTCTTTGAAAACTTCGACCACTTTTAACTAATTTTACTTTATTAATCAAACCAGGCTAAAATTCCATGAAAGTTGCCAATAATAAAATACGCCATTCTTTATCTTTTTCATTTCGCACTGGTCATGCATCTCTGCATAAGTTATCAATTATATCTTGATAAAACAACCATAATCTTGAGAGAAGAAAGTGACGGAATGGCAACAGAAAATTTGAAGGGCATAACAACACATTTTGATCAATACTTCAGAATCTTTTAAATCTCAAGTCCTAACTCCGTCAACGTCCTACCTGTCTCAGGGACTGTTGCACATTACTGGGGTCAAAAAGTTTCTTCACTTTCCGCGTCCAAGGACCAACCGCCCGGATGTACACCTTCAGCGTTTCCTCGTGCGGTGCCGAGCCGATGGTGATCGGGTGGTACTCAAATTCATTGTACCCCTTGATGGCGAGTCGTATCCACTCCCCGGCTTTAAAACTGAACCCTGTTGGCTTGTGGATCTCAAGAAATGTCACGTCTGAAGTGGAAGGTGGTTGTGCGTATACGAAAGAAATTTTGATTCAGATATAAATTCAAATGCTCTAAAATATCATTCAGAATTCAAAGACTTTTGACCGACTAAGAAAGCACATTTACTGACAGGATAAAAAAACTACAATAGTACAAATCCCAAAAAAAGTACAAATCTACATGTAACAATAGATTAATTGCAATTGGTTGAATTTATTGTGGTGATTGTATTGAAATCAGACACTTATAGAATTAGACCCATAACTAAAATGATAAATGATAACGGTTAACATCTGAAAATTCTTGTAAGCCGCTTTGGTGAAATTATGCAACGCTCTGTGCTGTTTAATATTAAGTCATCAAAACTGACAATATGAAATAAATGAGTATAGTATATTACATACCAGACGGTAATATATCGGAGCGTATGACGTCCACTGGATGGGAAAACCTGCTTAGGCTGACTGTTTTATCCAGGACAAAGAGCAAAGCTGGTCCCAAGAAGAAAAAATAAAACCAAGGCTCCTGGAAATACATGTAACACGCTATTAAGTTACGCTAGGCGAAAGGGCAGCTCAAAAGATAACTGCAAATATACATTTTAAAAGGTAGTCCTGACTGGCAATCATTTGTCATAACCTGCTGCAAAAGACGAAATACACCATTTTAGGGATGACCATTTTCCGCATTTGCATGGGATATTTGCCACGATTCGAGTTCAACATGAACAAAAATCTGCAAAAGCCAACTTTAATATCTGCTGATAACATGAACCTTAGATATGCAGGAACTACGCTGTGAGTGTTTATCATGGTAATTTGCATGACGTGCCATATTTATGTTGAACCCATGTGCTTTATAATAAAAATGTATACGCAAAGTCAAGTTAATTTTACTCTCTCGCCTGTCGGAGACGGATTAACTTACCTGAACAAGCACTGCACTTCCATGCAATATGATAAGCGCATACAAGACGATGTAGAGCTTATGAACTCTCCAGAAGATGTTGTACAACTTCCGGCGTGCCCATGGCAACGCAAACACCGCCATAATCCCCATCACACCTGTTAACAATACTCCTGTCATACCTGGAAACACGAAAGCATTTTTAAAGGTATATATAGGTATTTTTCGGTCTCATCATCGCATTGAAACTCTGCGATACTCCCCCATAAAATTAGTAAGTTTTTATGTTCTATTTAAAATAGGATATAAAATAATCAACGCTGTCTTACCCGTCACTGTTCCCAACAAATAGAACTGGAACGTATGGAGAAATGTGGAACTGAAAAGATAAACAAATCTCAATCCCATTTTGTTGATAAACTAAAAATCAAACTCAAATTTACTTTGAAAAAAAAAATTAAATGTGTTTAATTACATGTTATTTATTGCAAACTGAATTTATATTAGTCTTACCTGTAATAAATGGTATTGGAAAAGACGCACTTCACGAAAAACGGTGGTTGAATGGTAAGATGGTAGAAGTTGAACATGTGGCCAACAAAATGGAAGACTAGAATATTAAAATCATACCGTAAAAGGAACTTATATTATCTTATACGAAGCATCCATTTTTTACAATTAAGTAGTGACACAATAAATCATTGAGATAATCTTAACAAAAGCGCAAAATGCAATCAATTAAATGTAATCGTAGACCAAGTTAAGACATAAGAATGCTCTTTTTATTAAACTCGAAATGAATCATAACACAACTAAACGAAAGCAGTGCGTTACCCGAAATTCCAAACGAAGTCCACCCTACAATCATATGGAAAGTGAACACGTGTACATCAGAGGGGATATATGCTGCCACTACAGTCCCT